TTTATGACGTCTATCTTTCATTCTTAGTGCATAGAATAATAATAGAAATAAATGACCTTTCCAATTTTCAGTACAGGATATAAGAAAAAATGAGAAATTCAAGTTGCAGAAAAGATAGTGGAAAACTTTTCAATGCCTTTTGATTATTATCTCTCTAAATAACAATGGGCTTCCTAAATATTGTAGAATATTTAAGGCAGAATTCTATAATGCTCTTGTGTAATGAACCCCAGGTTCACATCTGGAGCTGGGCTTGGTATTTTGCTGTCTTTTCCTTGACTTACATTTTACGCTGGATTACTTTCCATTTCCGGTCCACTGAACATTTTGAGAAGCCATGTCTCTTTAGACTGTCTGAAGTTAACACTGAAGCTGTGTTCACTTTTGCTCCTTTCCTCTGCATGTTGAGGAAAATGCAAGAGAGGACCAATTGGTTTCTAACTGTATTCTAGGCAGGAGTTGGGACTGTCATAGAATAGGGTGTGAGAATAATGGGGCAGGCTGCAGATAGAGAATTTATTTCCCCTCCAAGCACAGATATTGGTCCCTAAGTTGAGAACTTTTAGCCATATACTATATGTCATTGAAGAGAGGAAGATAAAGAAAGGAGTGGAATAGAAGAAGAGCAAATGGAGGCGGAGGTCTCTTTTTGACCCATTCAGGAAGGGAAACATCCACCACTCTGCTCCTTGACATTGTAAGATATTCCTTCTTATATTATGTGCAAAGGTACAGTGAATGTGGAGGGAAAGGGAGAGTGCCCCACCCCAACCTTGGTCATAGAGACTACATATTCCTGTGCACCCCAGGCTCTGTGGGGGGAGGGGCTACCCTTTGCTTCCTGAGCTTCTGAGGGAAGGGCCCAGAGTGGGGTGAACCTGGGACTATAAAGGAATGAGGTCTTGGCAACCTTCTCTCCAACAGACCCTTGCCTGGAGGGTCTCAATGCCAGGCCTGAAGGGGAGGGTGCTTCCTCTGACTTGGCAAGTTCCAGGCCTGAGTGGATCAGTGGGCACGGGAGTGCAGGGCTTGGAACCAATAGGAGCCAGAGCAGAGCCACAGCCAGGTGATGCTGAGAACAGCAGGGTTCCTGAACAGCAGTGCCTCCTACAGGCAACAGGAGCTGGGCACAGGTAGTGGGGAGGTGAGAACAGCACAGCCTCTGAGGGGAGTCACCTCCTGCGACTCCTCGCGCTGCCTCCATTGTCTCCCAGTCCCCTCCCACACGGCACCCCAGCAGCACCCTGCTCCCTCCCGACGCCTCCCCTGCTTCCTCTTTTTTCTGGGACTCAGCTCTCCTGGGACACACCCAATCTCCTGTACACCTTCTTTGGTAGATAATCTGAACTCCTGGCTTTGGGACATCTTTGATTTCATGCCTGTTTTCATGGCATGATAGAACTTCACACCCTTCAGGAGGGAGGTTAAGTGAGCAGTCCTTGCTCACTCTCCCGTTAGGTCTTAAGTATTTGTAAACTTGAAATTCTTGGTCTTGTTTCTGTTCTGCTGATAGTTTCTCTGCCAGTTGTCATGGAGCCAGCTCTGTCTCTGAGTGTCTCTGGTGTTCACTCAGTCTCTGCCCGCTCTCTGACTGAAACATGCTGCAGGACTAGGGAGTGGAAGGAGAAGGGGGGGATGGGAATGCCTGTAAGGCCAAGTCTACCCTCAGGCCCAAAGTCGACCTAAGATATGCAGCTCCAGCTATGAGAATAGCGTAGCTGGAGTTGCTGTATCAGAGTTTGAATTTCCACAGTGTTCCCATCACAGGAGGTCAACATTGACTTCCCTTTTTCCTCGAGACCTGGTAAAGTACCAAAATTGATGGGGGCATGAAAAGCAGTTGATTTAGTGGATCTTTACTAGACCCACTAAATTGAATCCTGGGAAATTAACCTCTGCAGTGTCGATCTCCCTATAAGTGGAGACAAGGTCTAACTAGAAAAAGGTAATGTGGAGGCAGTATGGAACTCCTTTGAGGTGTTTGGCTTGCCACTTGGTGACAACAGCAGGGTTACCCACATCTAAAAGGAAAGGATGCAACCTAATAGCCCAACACCAATAATATAAAGCTCTCTTGGCAACCACTGCTGCTATGTGAATTCCCAGAAACAGCGGAACATCTTAAAAAAACCTAGTTTGTGAGTTTGTGACCAAAGATGGGCATAGCCCCACACAATCATATCCCCACCCAGGGGTTCAGTTAGAATTTTCTTACCAAGGAAGCCCTGAGTTCTCCATCCTCTCTCCTGCACTCAGGCACAAGCTCTCTCCTGCATTCTCCTCATGCCCCCTAAATGCTCCCTCTCCTGCTGTAACACAGGTTATAGTACCACCTGGCTACCCTTCTGTCATGATGGAACTGCAGCCAGGCCAAATTTCCAGCACCAGTCAGAGACCAAAAGGGAGCCCTCCTATCCCCTTGGGGGGTCCCTGGCTGTTGCTGGAAACGGTTGTTTATTCGAGTTCTTCCCATGATTTAATGGCATTGCCTTGGCTTTATCTGAATTTTGTCTCAGCCACCTACCTCTCATCTATGTCACTGTTTCTATGAGACATTGAATCAGTGCAGCCCAGACGGTCTCATGAAACCACCTGGTAGACTCAAATATACTTTAACCTGTGCTTTATAAACAATGAAATTTGTATGCCTGGGTAACTGTTTAACTGTGTGCCTTTGCCCTACAGTTTTACAAATGAGTTACAGTTCCTCAGCCACATTTACCCATCTTCCCTCCTGAACAGGTTAATATTTATACTCCTTATTGACGTGCACCCATCACCCAGTTAGTACACACAATTACAGCAGCTTAATCTCAAACCCACTCTAACTACCAATCTTCCTAACTAGTTATTGCTTTTATCCTGTATGTACTACATAACCACATAGAAAGTCCTAATGTTTCAAGTCTTTGTAGGCATACATGTGGAACTGTTACAACTTTTAGGTACATGATGGGTGCGCAATACTTCAAATATTAAGGCCAAAGTGAGTACGGTTGTGTCATAAAATAATATAAGAACGCGGCACACATTTTTCTCATAAATATACCTTTAGGATAAATCTTAAAAAACAATTAGATATTTTAGATATACTTTAATGTCATTGTGTATAGTTTAATTCCATCTTCTCTTTCATGAATATAAAAAAATCCATTAATTTTAACCCAAAAGCCATTATCTATTTAACTGATCAGCTCTCTCCCTTGAAACAAAAAAATATTTATACAGAGGGAGATTCAGTTTGTTTCCAGCACTACACCTCACTGGGTTTTCTATATCTCTGTTGGCACTTGAAGTATGGCACTCCTCATAAAAAATGAAAATATTCTTTGAACTGTCTGACATGAAGAAAAGCTGTTACGTGGCTTATAAAAAAAATCAAATGTGGAGAAATAAGAGGTAGATCTGGAAAGTGTTTGTTGCTTTGGCAAATATCCTGCATTTAAAAACTTTTGAGTATTTAATGGAAGAATTACCTGCAACCCATGGTTTGCTAGCAATCCTACAATTCTTCTGAAAAGAAAAATGTATAGTAATCGTGTATTTCATTTATGAAACAACATGGCATGTTAACTATCTCAGTTTCTGAGAGTGATTGATTTTTTTCTTATGAATGTTTTTCCTATCTGAGTAATAAAGGATTATTTGCACAAGGGCTATAGGGATTACTTCATCTTGTCTTCAGAACAAATGCAAACACACACGTACACTGTCTACTGCATTAAAATGATATATGATCTGGCCTTTTAAGATCTGGCCTTTATATATGTATATATGCGTGTGTGAGAGAGTGAGAGAGCAGTTTTTAATCACATTCTAAGTATTAAGATCAGCATGAATATTACATTAATGTTCCTTACTGCAGGATATCTTATTGGAAGTTCTGATAGCTAAGTCTGTCTTTCATGTACCTGGACGGGGGAGGAGAGAGAGGCTGTATGCCAAATTGGCCTAGGTAACAATATGATAATTTGGTTTGACAGACTCATTATAGTTTTTTACAATCTTGGTTCACATTCAAAAAAGTAAAGAGGACTGCTATCCAATTGATTTTTCTGTGTCTCATCTCCCTCATATGGTCTCTTAATTAGATAGTCTGGAAGAGAAAATAATGTATCTTACAAAACATCTACATTCAGCCAATTTGATTGCCAGGGCCAAACCCTGCTGCGTTAAAATAAATCCGTACATCAAATATACTGCTTACTTCTGATTTTGAGTGGGGATAATGGCAGGAAGTGGGACACAGAGTTGATGGGAGAGAGATGAAATAGGAAAAGCTGCTTTCCTGAGATGAAATCATTCTATATGTTATTCTCATAGGGTATGTCTACCCTTGCACCCTAGTTCGAACTAGAGATGCAAATGTAGGCATTCAAAATAGTCAATGAAGCGGGGATTTAAATATCCCGTGCTTCATTAGCATGATCTTGCTGGCACGTTACTCCAATCAACAGCTGTTTCGAAACACGCTGGTGAGATCATGCAAATGAAGCACAGGATATTTAAATCCCTGCTTCACTATTTCGAATGCCTAATTTGCATCTCAAGTTTGAACTAGAGTGCAAGTATAGACGTACCCATGCATTGTTTGTGCCACCTAGAAGTCATAACCAAGACTGGGGGGCTTGTTCAAACACATAGTAAGAAAAAGTCTCTACACTGAATAACTAATATGTTGTCTTTAAAAAAAAAAAAAAAAACTTCACACGTTTTTAGAACCTTGAAGAATGAAGCTTGAGACTTTGGCAGTCTATCTTTCCCAGTGTTTCTTGCACAGGGAACTAAAAGTTAATATTAAACAAGATGATTCTGTAGTGAAAATGCACTTCACATTTAATAGGGTCCTAAATCTTGCAGACCTTTTCAAGGCTTCTAGAGATAGTATAAAAAGTTCTGACCACATAGTTTGTGCACTTAAAAACCACACACACTTCTTGCTCTGCGTAGGTCTTATCGTGCTAGTTACTTTTAAATTATGGTGTCTCTTTTTCCTGTAGGTATGTCAGCTGCCAAGCTGCTGGCTGAATCTGGGCTTAAAGTTGTGGTTCTAGAGGCCCGTGGCAGAGTTGGAGGAAGGACTTTTACTGTTCGGGTAAGTGCTTTTTGATAGCAGTTAGCTTTTGATTTTATGGGCTCATAGTGCCACTTTTGTCATTTCCGTGACATAGGCTGATGATGAGAAGAGATTCTTGGAGAATGTGGATCTTTAAAATGGGTATCAATGTAAAGGTTGCTTATTAAAAACTACATCTCATTTGGACTGTGGCATGTACAGTGGTTGTCAGTAGGATTAACATATATCAGACACTGAATTTGAAAATATTTCTTGCCTCCTTTGCATACAGGTTAGACTTTTATCCATTGCAGGGGAGAGTACAAAGTCCAGATTATTACTTTACTGGAATGAAGTTGCCAGACCAATACAACAATAGCTAAGTTCTCATTGGGTGGTGTTATATCAGAAAATTAGAGCTGTCAGGTGATTAAAAATTACACAATAACAGAATACAGGCAGTCCCCGGGTTACGTACAAGATAGGGACTGTAGGTTTGTTCTTAAGTTGAATCTGTATGTAAGTCGGAACTGGCGTCAGCCGCTGCTGAAACTGATCAGTTTCAACCGCGGCTGAATCTGGATGCCAGTTCTGACTTACAAACAGATTCAACTTAAGAAACCCAGGCGTCCCCAAGTCAGCTGCTGCTGAAACTGATCAGCGGCTGATTCCAGGAAGCCTGGGGCAGAGCAAC